ATCCCAGGGTCCTGGGATTGAGCCCCACATCGGGCTCCCTGCTCAGCGGGGAGCCTGCTTCTCCCTCTCCCTCTGCCTGCTGCTCTGCCTACTTGTGCTCTCTCTCTGTCAAATAAATAAATAAAATCTAAAAAAAAAAAAAAAGGTAAAATAAGTTCCTTTACTGTCTCAGAATCTTGAACAGGCTAAGTGGCAACCAGTCTCACCAAGATAAAAACATCTGTACTATTTTCAGTACAACAGAATTCTTTTTCCAGAGACCATTGCTATGATACTTTTTTTAAAGATTTTTATTTATTTGTTAGAGCACAAGTGGGGGAGTGGCAAGCAGAGGGAGAAGCAGGCTTCCTGCTGAGCAAGGAGACTGATTCGATGCAGGACTTGATCCCAGGTCTCTGGGATCATGACCTGAGCTGAAGGCAGACGCTAACTGACTGAGCCACCCAGGTGTCCCTAGAGACCATTGTTATGACATTTTAAAAAACATTGCCTTTGAGGTTTATAGCTGGTATACCATCTTCCTTGTTTTATACTACCTGATCTTCAGCAGCAGCCCACTGAAGCTGGGAAGAATGTTATTATTATCCCCACTCATTGGTGATATTAAAAATATTTAACAACCAGGGGCGCCTGGGTGGCTCAGTCGGTTGGGTGGCTGCCTTCGGCTCAGGTCATGATCCCAGGGTCCTGGGATCGAGTCCCACATTGGGCTCCCCGCTCTGCGGGAGCCTGCTTCTCAACCTCTCCCACTCCCCCTGCTTGTGTTCCCTCTCTCGCTGTGTCTCTCTCTGTCAAATAAATAAATAAAATCTTTAAAAAAAAAAAAAAATTTAACAACCAATATAGCTTGGGACCAATCATAGCCCTGGAATGAGGTGGGTCTTTAATGCCCCCTGCTGAGCCCCACACTGATGCTTTTGTTACTAAATTATGAGGAGGTGGGTGGGAATCTTAAAGGAGGGGATCAGTTAGAGTAGCTATTCACCAAACAGTACAGAAGGATTTCAATATTTTAATAAGCAGCATAGCTATACCAGTGTGTACCAGATTACTATGAGCCCTACCTACGTTTGCCAACATAAAGGAGGAAGGAAGGAAGGAGAGGAAAAGAGGGGAAAGGAGAGGAGGGGAGGAAAGGAAGAAAGAAGGGAGGGAGGGAGGAAAAGAGGGAGGGAGGGAGGAATGGCTTTTCTAGGACTATAAATCAGTAAATTGCAGAGCTTGGATTCAAAATTAAGTCTTCAATAATCCAAATTCTCTACTATTTTTTCTGTTACCCACTTTCTTTTTTTTTTAATTTAATTTTATTATGTTATGTTAGTCACCATACATCAGTTTTTGATGTAGTGATCCATTACCCACTTTCTTTACTTGTATGTTCTTTTTCACATCCTGTGGATCATCCTAGTCAATGACTCAGATCAGAGAAAAGAATATTGTATTTGGAGACAGAAGACTTATGCTCAGGTCCTACTTCTGCTATTTATTAGTTATGAGACCTTGGGCAATTCACCTGATCCTACAAGACTGAGTTTCTTCACTGGGGAAATCACAGTAATTATGTCTACATTGCAAAGCAGCTGAAGAAAAGCTTTGTAAAATATTAAGTACTATCCAGATGTCAGCCATTCACATTATGCACAAATTGGCAGTTTTCATCTTAAAAACCTGAATGTTGGAACTGGAATTTTCCAGATGAGAAAACTCAGACTTCTGAGAGATTAAATTACTTGCCCAAGGTCACACAACTAGTGATGATAGAGCCAGGAATGATTTCAAAGCTCTTGACTTCTAATTCATGGCTTTAGCTTTTGGCAGCCTGCAAACTCACATCACAGGCTACCTACAAAGATAGAAATGTGAATGATCCTAACTTACAGTCAGAGCTATGTTGGCAGGCCTTTGTCATCAGCTCCTTTCAAGTCTGTAGGAAGAAGGCCTGCTTCAGGCCCAGCATATATCTTCTATAATTCAGGGTGCTACTAGCCAATTGCTAGGTCACTCCAGCAGCTGTGGGACTGGAATAGCAAAATTATGGTGTTAATGTCAGTATTTCTGCTACAGATATGCAAGCAAACGATAGCATGGATGGGGACAGTGCCTACCCCAGAGGGTCTGACCTATAAGCCCTCATCTGCCACAGGTCAAAGGGGTCAGGATTCGTAGTATGACAACTGAGAAGGAAGAGTTATTCTCAGCTTAGGAAGATTTAGCCTACGTTGCCCCAAAAAGACAACTCTCACTGAAAAGCAACAGAAAGTCAAATGATACGTATATCCCCAATCCCAGAACTCTAGGCAAACTGAGTAAAGCAATGTGGTTTTGTAAAATCTGGTTTTAGAGTCAGATAATTTTTGGATTCAGATACCAAGTCTTCCACTTACTAGGTCTGGTAGTCATTTGCACAGCCCCCCAAATTTCTAGCTCTGCCTTCCAGGCATATGATAGGGCTACACTTCCTAGCTTGCCTGTGGTTAGGTAGAGTCATAGGACTAACCTTGGCAAATACATTGTGAGAAAAAGGGACATATATCACTTCTAGGCCAAGCTTTTATTGCTGCTGTGACACTCTCTAGAGATGTCTTGTTCCTCTAGTACAGCAATATTTGTGATGGTTGCTGCTCTGCAGCCTGGATCCCTAACAACGATGAGTAGGGCCCTCCTGCTGACTCACTGTGAACATGTGACACAAGCCAAAAATGAACCTTTGTGTTTTAAGTCACTAAGATGTGGAGGTTGTTTACTACTGCAGCATAATCTAGCCTATCCAAATTGATACATTAGCTATATGATTTTTAGTAAGTTACTTAGCTTCTCTGAGCATGAGTTTCTGATGTTTAATATAAGGATGCACACCTTTTTACGACTGTGAGGATTACCAATAGTTTATGTAAAGCAGCTCACAGCTCCTAGCACATATTTGGTCCCCAAGCAATGTTATCTATTACTATTACAAAACAGTCAGGGAGAAAAGCAGGTGGAAGCAAGATATCCTTAAGCAAATCCATAGCTCTTAAACTCTCCTGAGCCAGTCACCTAGACATAGAGCTTTGGCAGCCAGGAGAGCCAGATAGAAGGAGGCCCCTGAATGCCTCCAGTCACTTGTTCATTCTTTCATTTTGTAAATATATAGTGAGTACCTACTATGTGACAGACAACTGTTTAGGCATTGGAAATATAAGAGAAACAAAGTCCCAGCTCTCATGGTCTTTACCTATACCACCTAATGCATTTGAATGGCTGTTTTTTGGATTACCTAATTGTACCCTCAGAGGAAACAAAGAGCCTGGAATTTGATCCTTTGCATTTTAGGGGGTTTTAATTCCTTGGAAATATTTTTGCATATATTAACAGACTCAATTCTCACTGCACTTTTTCAAATAGGCAAGGATGTTATTACTGTATATATTCACAGGTGCAGAAATTAAGGCTGGGAAAAATTAATTATTTTGTTTTTTTAGCATAAGTGGCAGTGCCAGATTTAGAATCTGTACTCTCAGTTTCCTCATTGAGGGTCATGTTCTTTTTTTTAATCCCAGGTTGACACTAAAAACTTGAATCACCATCTTGCCCAGGGATACTCCTAGATAACATTTTTATTAAAGTACTGTAGGTGAAATACAAGAATGGAGTCTTTCTGTGGTTTTAGTAATAATAAACCATCACAAATAGGATTTTAAACAGAGCTGTCCTATACCAAATTCTCCCTGCTAATGGGTCAAATTTCAGAAAGTTCCTACTTCAAACTCCATGTGTGGAGAGAGACCTAAGCACACATTTAATGTAGATGATCTTACCACCTTGGTGCAGTATGTAATAAGAAAAGACCAACACAAATATTTTCTGGCCTCCTGGTGTCTTTATTGTTGGAGTAAATGTCCTAGAAAGTTAGGCCACACCTAGTTCCTCACTTATAGCTCAGTATTTTATTCTAAGCCCATGCCTTGAAAATCCAACATGTCAAGGATCAATTCAAATGTCATCTTTTATGAAACCTTCTTTAATTGCCTTATCAAAAGTGATGTCCCATCATCCTTCATCTGCATCTTAATCCGGTTCCTATTGTATCCTAAAGTCATATCCAGATGGTAGTGAAACAGACAGACTGTGCTGTTGTTCCACATAGGGAAATGATGGAAAATAAAATGAGAAATACAGATTGAGTCAAATTGTGGAGGTCTCTGAATGCCAGACTAAAAAGTTAGATTTTCCTCTATAGGCAAAAGTAGCTGCTGGGAAACTTGGAGTGTTTACAAAATATAAATATAATCATATGATCACTCACCTGCTAAAAGAAAGGGAGAAGGCAGAATAGAAATCGGGTTTCAATAATGTGAAATGAGAGTCTAAACAGTTACTTTTGTCTTGGGGATATTTTTAGATTTACATTTGACTAGTTAGATTTGTTCCAAATCTGATAAACAAGCTGCAAGTGAACACCTGAACCAACACTTGAGAAACTGTGCAGTGTGATAAACTGTGAAACCTCGCAGGAATTCTCCTAGATCACTACTCTCTCCTCGATCACTACTTTCCCAGCAGATCAGAGAACTCCGAAATAGAAGTACTCTTTCCACAAAGTTAACAAGTTGAATTAACTAAATATTGATTGGCTTTGAAGAGGGAGTTTGTATTCACACAGATGTCATTATAATCACCAAGGGACCCTGGGCTTCTTCAGTTGGCAAACCCATCATTCATGGCAACCAGCTAACACCTGAGACCTTTTCCTAAGTAGTGTGTGAAATTCTGAGGTGTTCTCACTTCTAACGTGTTAGACACACAGACTGCTCTGCATGAGTTGAACCATGAGG